CCTTCCCTGCGCCCAGCCGCTCCCCGCCTGCGCCGCGCGCCCATTTGTTGCATGCGCCCCCGCCCCGCCTCACCCCTCCCCGCGGACGCGAGCTCCCCTCTTGTCCATATTCCCCCGCTGTAACCTGAGCTTTCTATTGATGAATGTAGGGCTTGCTTTTTTTTTTTTCTTTTTTTAATGGAAGGGAGGGGACTTGGCATCCCCGGAGGGGGCTCTGTTTACAGTCGCTCGCACAGACCCGTTTCCCTTTTCTACCCGGACCCCACTCTTCTTTCTTTGCTCTCCCCTGCGGGCGCCCCAGCCCGCGCTCGCCTGGGCGCCAGCCACATTGTTCTTAATGTTTGGGCTGCGCTTCTGTGGCCCTCGGCCTCCCCCTCCCTGCATCCTGGACAGCCTTCCCTTCCCTCGCTGGCTCCGGGCCAGGGTTTGGGGGCTTCCCTCTGCCACTTTCCATCTCGTTGGGATTTGTTTTTCTCCCAGGAGGAGACTGGAGTCCTCCCGAGGCCGAGTGTTAATTGGAGGGATTAAGGTGGTGGTTTCCCTTGGAGTTTGAGGTCGTGGTTCTGGCTTCCAGGGCGGGGTCCCCAGGGCTCGTCCTGGACGTGAGTGGGGTCTCGTCCACTCTGCCACAGCACCCAGTGCCTTTGCCGACAGCAGGGACTGGCTTCTTTCTGAAGTGGCCCGTCACTGCCTGCTGTTTTACCCCGTCCGACCTGCTTTTTGTTTTTCCAGACACAACAGCTGGGAGCCAGAGGAAAATATCCTGGATCCACGGCTGCTCCTGGCCTTCCAGAAGAAGTGAGAAAGTTACAGCACGCGTGGGAAGGGGGAGGGCGTTGGGGGACCGTGGCCTGTCAAGCAGTCACGCAGGGTGGTGCTGGCCTTCCGGGGGTCCTGGGCTTGTGCTGAGGTCTGAGGTCTCAGGGCGGCTGTCACTAGGGCCTCTGGTGCCATCTCCATGGTTGTCTGTAAAGGTGGGGCAAGCCTTGAGGTCCCGAATAGGCCTCCTCCCTTCTGTCTGCTGGCCAGGGCCGTGTCCAGGCCTAAGGAGTCACTGAGTAAGTGCTGCTTCGATCTTTCTGGAAGCCATACTCACCGAAATGATCCTTTTAGCTCCTTCCTGGAAATTTCTGGTTTCCCTTCTGGACCTCTTCTGTCAAGTATTTCGCTAACAGGAAAAGTGAACACTAGGGTGGCAGGTTTGCCATAAAAATGCAGACCTGGTCCTGCCAGAGGGCACCACTGAGCAGAAGGTCCCTGAGGGAGCTGGGACGCGCGCAGAGTCAGGCTGCGTGCCGTGTCTGCACCGAGGACCACACGTTTCTGGCCTGCAAACCGCTGGTGCTGCGTGAGCACCGTGGGGGCCCCCTGGCCAGTCTCGGGGGCCCGACTTGCTTCTGTAATCCTAGATGCTGTTTCTATTTTTAGGTGGGAGACTCGGGTTAAGAGAGGACGCCTTGAGATCCTCTTGGAAAGGGTGGCAAGAGGCGGGTGATGGACAGGCCACCCCATCGGGGCACGAGAGTCCACAGCACACTTGGCGGGGGGAGGTGTGGGCCCTTTGTGAGGGATCGCCCTGTCGATAGAGACAGATGAATTAGTTTTCCGAAAGCTGCCCCCGCCGGGGTCACTCTGGACCCCTGTTCTCTGGTAGCTCAGGCTCTGTCCAGTCTTCATCTGGCTGGACATTTAGGGTGTTCTCAGAGGGGCTGTGACATCAGGGAGAAAACAGATGGGCTCCGCTCCGGTGAGAATGAGGTGAGCATAGGTGTGCCCCAGCCTCATCCGCAGCCTCATTGTCCGCCACTCAGTTCACACTTTGGCTCCCGCGGGACGGGGCCAGGGCAGCTGGTCCTTCCCTGGGATGGGGCCTCACTGTTGGGCGTGTGCTCCTAGCTTTGCTTTGGGTTACAGCACAGGGGACAAGTGGGGTTGGCGACCAAGTGAGGTGGAGGAGTTAGAGCCATGGGGTGGTCTGGACTCCGTCTTAGGGCAGAGAAAACTGGGGGTGTGGGCACTCTGCTTCTCTAGTAAGCCAGAAGGGTCCCACTGGAAACTGGGACCTGGCAGTTATTTGCTTGATGTGGGGGTGTGACCTCTGTAAGACTCAGGTCAAGAGGCCTCAGGTGACCGTGTTGGGCGGGAGAATCGTGAGATGCCCCTGTCCCCTTAGGAGATCGGATGGGGCTGCTTCGGAGTGTGGGCTCTGTCGGGTCGTACTCACCTTCCAGGCCCTGAAGAGGTGGCACCCGTTTTAATCACCGGGAAAGTTCTCCAGGTGGACCCCCTTCCTCAGCGGGTAGCCTGAAACTGCAGGACCCCGAGTCTCGGGGCTGCTTAAAGGTGTCTGCAGGATTCCTGCCCGGTGCGGAGGTTGGGAACAGAGTCCTCGAGAAAGGAACCCGGGCGTGGGCTCGGGGGGGCGCGGAGGGCGCTGTGGGACGGGGGCCCTTGGTTCCCCGCACTCCCCCTCCCGTGATGTTGGGGGGGGCCTCGCCTCCCTGCCCTGGACTCCTATTTGAAGTGAGGGATTGATTGGGCCATGTGACCACGAAGAGTCCTCCCAGTGGCATTCTGCCAGCCCCTCACCGATCTACCCGCAGAGCGAGGCCGTCGCCGGCTCCGGGTCGGTGTCGGTGTCGGTGTCGGTGGAGTCGGAGGAGCCTGGAGGACCGTTCGTTTCCGGCTTAGCTCGCGTTCCACCCAGCGCTCACGAAGGTGGTTGGGTGTACAGATGTTACCACCCGTGCTGCACAGGAGGGGGGTCTGGACTCCCGCCCTGAATTCATACGTTCGTTAACAGGATATGTTTCTGCAGTGAAACTGATGATAAGCTACTGTGGGCTGGGCTGGAATGTCGGGGTGTTTGCAGCCTTGGTGGGTCCGTGTGGCGGGAGGGAAAGTCTGTGGCCCTGACTGGGGATTGTCTTCAGGGAACACGAGAAGGAGGCGCAGAACCGGAAGAGAGGCAAGCGGCCCAGGGGGAGGCCGAGGAAGCACACGGTGATGTCGTCCTGCAGCCGGCACGCCAAGCTCAAGGTGGGTGGCCGGTGGCCTCGTCAGGCCACTTACCTTCCAGCACTCAGGGCAGAGTGCACGGTGGAGGTGGGTGGGCCGTGACGCTGGTCCACCTCCCTCCTTGTGCTACTCACACAGCAAGCCTTGTGCTACTCACACAGCAAGTCCAGCTCCCCTCCTGAGCTGCACTCCTACTGGATGGCTGGGTCAGACTTGGTACAGACCATCATTCTCTCTCATCCCAGTGGCTTATGGAGAACAGGGAGGGCGCACACAGTAGGTACTCATAGGTTTGCCAAGTACCTGGGTGGCCCACCGGTACACACACCTGGGGTCCGTGGCACCACCTGCCTCGCCTAGTAGTTCAGAGGCAAGATGGGGTGCGGGTTCCTCAGTCTTGGACGTGTTTTGATGCCTTCCTCAGGAGTGCTTACCACCCCAGGGCCCCGAAGCCAAGAGCTTGGTCACTTCCTGCATAAACCCCCTGCCGGGAGACTGAGCATCCTGCCTTCCATCTTGGTGGCCGGCCTACAGCAACTTCAGTTTGTCTTTTGAGATATTTCTTCTGAGCAGGGCGGGGGTGCCACAGGGGTCCCGCTGACTGCAGGAGAACATGGGGTGTTGGTGTTGACCGGCAGCACTGGCCATCCCTGTTGCTTGGGCTCCCATCAGGTGGGGTGACAAGTTGGGGGCCAGGCAAGCAGGCCCTGAGAGTCTTCAGGTTTGATCCTCGCCCCCAATTCAAGGCAGGCGAGCTTTGGAGCAAGGGCCTGGCTGATGGTTCTGTCTCCCTAAAGTGCACCTTTTAAAATGCCGACCCAGCAGGCAGCTTGGGGACTTGGGAAATAGGGGGTGCACTTAGCTTTCAGGGTGATGCCCAAAAGACAGGAGGGCAGTGTTCTTTTCTCCTGTGAGCTGGAAGGTTCTGAAGCCGTTGGCTTTGGCAGTGCGGAGGTGGAAGCAAGGCTTCCGCTTGCTTTCAGATTACAGGGCTGCGGTGCACCTCGCTTCTGAGGGTTAACCTTACGAGACGTGAATCGAGCTGCTCTGCGCTCCCTCTAGGAGCAGAGTGGAGCTGTGTCCCCTTGAAAGTCAGTAGCTTCCGGCTGCTCTGGTGTGTGTTTCCCGTCCTTGCTCCGACTTCATCTTAGGAACCGCCCGCGTTTATTTTCCACTATTTTTTATTTTTTATTTTTATTTATTTATTTTTTTAGCGAGGCAACCCTTGGTGGACCTCACAGATTGCAAGAACCTTGTCAGCTTACAATCCCTTATTTGTTTGTTTGTTTGTTTGTTTGTTTTTGCACCTCTAGCCCCTGGTCTTCCTAGGTGGTCTCCCATCCAGGCCCCACCCCGCTGAGCTTCCGAGGTCAGGCGGGCCTGGGCGTGTCGGGGTGGCGTGGCCGCAGACTCCTGCACTTTTAACTGCACTTCCTGGAGTCTCCTTAGGACCTTGTACGTCCTCTCTGGGACGAGGTGGGGAATTGCTCCCTCCTGGCCGTGTCTGTTCTGGAAGCTGCAGCAGGTGCTGGCTCTGAGGTGTCCGAGGCCCCTTGGGGAAAGTGCGCTGTGGATGCCGGGACCCGGCTGCAGAAGTGGTGGTGGCACCTTCGCTTTGTCTTTGCAGGAGCCCGACACGCCTTCCAAGTGCAAATCCAGCAGCTCCTCCACGTCTTCCACGTCCTCCTCCTCCTCCTCCGACGAAGAGGACGACAGCGACTTGGATGCCAAGAGAGGCCCTCGGGGCCGCGAGACCCACCCAGTGCCCCAGAAGAAGGCCCAGATCCTGGTGGCCAAGCCCGAACTGAAGGACCCCACGCGGAAGAAGCGGGGCCGCAAGCCCCTGCCGCCGGAGCAGAAGGCAGCCCGCAGGCCTGTGAGCCTGGCCAGGGTGCTGAAGACTGCGCGGAAGGACCTGGGGGCGCCGGCCAGCAAGCTGCCCCCTCCGCTCAGCGCCCCCGTGGCCGGCCTGGCAGCCCTGAAGGCCCACGCCAAGGAGGCCTGCGGCGGCCCCAGCACCATGGCCACCCCAGAGAACCTGGCCAGCCTGGTGAAGGGCATGGCCGGCAGCCCCAGCCGGGGCGGCATCAGCTGGCAGAGCTCCATCGTGCATTACATGAACCGGGTGAGCCAGAGCCAGGCCCAGGCTGCCGGCAGACTGGCGCTCAAGGGCCAGGCCGCTGGCAAGTGCAGCCTCGGGCTGGACCTCAAGGTGAGGACGCAGAAGGGGGAGCTGGGGTTGAGCCCCCCAGGAAGCAAAGTCCCAAAGGCCCCCAGCAGCGGGGCTGTGGAGCAGAAAGGGGGGACCACGGGGGGCCCCCCCCACATCCACAGCAGCGGCAAAGTCCCTGCGGGCTGCCTGGGTCCCCAGGCCGCGCCCACCCAGGAGCTGAGCCTGCAGATCTTGGACTTACAGAGTGTCAAGAACGGCACTCCCGGGGTGGGCATGGCCGCCCGCCATGCCGCAGCCACCAAGGCTGGCCCTGCCGCCGGGCCAGGCGCCGGGAAAGGTTCAGGGGCTGGCCCCACTGGGGGGAGCGGGGCTGGTGTGCTGACTGACACCAGCAAGGGTGACAAGCCGGCCTCTAGGGCGGCAGCTCTGCCCCCCGCTGCAGGCAAGAGGGACTGTGTCAAAGGCAGTGGGGCCCCCGGGGGACCGGAGGGTCCCGCGGCCCCAGGAGACGGGCGCAAGGCGGCAGCGCTGTCTGAGGTCAGCACCGGCGAGGACAGCAGCTCCGACTCGGACCCCGACTCGGCCTCGCCGCCCGGCGCCGAGCAGAACCTGTCGGTGTCCGTGCAGACCAGCCAGGACTGGAAGCCCACGCGCAGCCTCATCGAGCACGTCTTTGTCACCGACGTCACCGCCAACCTCATCACGGTCACGGTGAAGGAGTCCCCCACCAGCGTGGGCTTCTTCAGCCTGAGGCATTACTGACGCCGCTGCCAGGGCCTCCCCTGCTGCTCTGTGGCCTCTGGTTTTGCTCCAATAAGTGACCTCCACCCCACATCCTCTCCTGGGTCCAGGTGGCCTCCTTCAGGGGCCAGCTTGGAGGGCCTTCTCCCGGACCCCAGCCCTGCCCGTGACGTCGGGCCAGGCGGTGCCTCGATGCCTTGCCAGGGCCTGGCCTGGCCCTGTTGCTACCTCTGGGCCTTCGCTCCGCCTCCCGTCGGCCTCAGGAAGTCATTCGCCACCTGCAGCTCGAGCCAAATGTCTGATCCCTGCCTGAGTGACAGTGGGGGTCAGCTTCCTCTGGTTTTTGGGGGGCACACGTGTTCAAAGAGAGAGCTTCTCTCGGTCCCGCTTGGCTGTCTTGCCCAATGGTGGCAAAAGTGTATGGGGGGGTAGGCATGAGGCAGGACTCGGGGGACTGCTACAGGGAGGGCTGGGTAAGCTTCTAGAATATGGGACGGGGTGGCGGGGCACACAGAAGGGGGTTCTTGCTGGTCAGAGCTCCTGTGCTCAGCAGTGCCCGAGCTGTCAAAGGTGAGGGGACCGTTATCTCTCTGTCCCTACCTCTGATTGCTGAAGGCTATGGCCTTAATGTAAAGTGACAAGTAATTGGAGGTCAGGGGCTGGGAGCCTTAAAGAGGTTGGTTTTAATGTCACCTGACCCTGGTTCAAACTAACTGCAGCCCCCAAACACCAAGCAGGAAGTCCAGTTGGGCTGGGAGGGGCAAATTCCAGTGCTGCTTCACCTGAAGAGCCTCAGTTTTGGGGAGGAGAAGGCCGTCCCTCCAGCTGCCCTCCTTTCTGCTGGCCTGTGCAAGGACCGCCTTACTCCCGACCTCAACCCCGCAGATGGCGCTTCGCGGCCCTGCAAGCTGGGAGTGCGGGCAGGTGCAGGAAGCGGTTCTGTCCTCCAGCCACCTGTGGGCTACCAGCTATTGTACAGGGACCTGGGTGCAGTTCCCGTCCGTGAATGTGGCCCCACCTTTCCCTGACAATCCCCCCCATTGGGGGTTCCACGTTCTTCCCCACTGGGAAGCTGTATCCCTGTACCATTTGGGAAGTGGGACAAAATCAGGGTGCCTGCCTGGCAGAGGCCTCCAGCTACCCTGGTCAAGAGCCACCTACCCTGTGTGGTTCCTGATGGGGCAGAGAGGTGGGTCAGCGCATGGGGTCACCGGGTCTTTGTGATGCCAAAAAGAAAAGTGAGGGCTTAGGGGGGCTCCCTTTCTGTTTCAGTTGGTTAAAGTCAGCCAGCAGATGTGGGGGGCTACTTATCCCCAAAGCTTCGATTGCAGGGGAGAACCTGGACTTGCAGCAGGCTGGTTCTGGGGGGTGGGCCTGCTACATCTCCAGTGTCCCCAGTCACTCACCCTCTGTGCCAAATAGGACAACGTGGCTTTTGTGTAGCCAAGTGGATTTCAACAGTGTGCCTTTGGGGATAGCTCCTGTCCAGGATCTTATTGAGGGACAACCTGGTGCAGCTTCTGGGTCTCGCCTGTGGCAGCCGTGCTGGCTGTGGTGGGAACGGTGCCCACCTTGGCGGAGGTGAGGGCTTGGAGTCCCAGATGCCCAGGCTGCAGCTAGAAAGTGGGCAGCGAAGGGGAGGATTGTTCCTCATCTCAGCAGGGGAGGGCGAGATCTGACTCCAGCTCCAACCTCCCCTCCTGTCTGCAGACCCCCAGATCGCCCCTGGGTGTGACTAAAGGGGTTCCTCCAGGCTGCCTCCCTCTTGGAAGAGCTGGCAGTCTCCAGATTTTGTAGCTCCTTTCCTGCCAGGTGCTCTGCCGCTTTAGAGGCTGCAAAGCCAGACCAGCAGCAGCTCCCTTCCAAGCCTGTGGGGCAACCAGGGCCTGGGCCGATGTGACGTCCCCAGCAGCTAGGTCTCCAAACCCTGACTTGGTGCCTTTCTGTTTACCAGCTATTTCAATCCCAAAGTTCAAATCTGCAAACACCTTACTTCTAGCCACTTTGCCTTGCTGCGTTGTGTTTTTTTTCTTAGTGTTTGTGACTCCAAGCAGTCTGTGTTTAAAATGGGCATGTGTGTGCACGTGCAGCAGCCTTTGCTGGAGTTGGACCAGGTGCTCAGAGTTGGTCATGTTTACCAATAAATAGAAGTAGTGCTTTTTTGTTTGCTGCTATGTGCGCGTGTGTGTAGATATCAGTCACATCCGACTTGAGATTCCTTGATTCTTTGTTCCTCTTACTATGTGACTATGTGGGCTGCGTCCCCATATTGAGTGGGCGTTTTAATCCCGTCACATCTTTCTGTTTGCTTCTGTAATGGATAGGAAGAAGTGGCCAGGCTATCCTCTTGAGAGGGTTTGGCATATTTTTATATATATTTTTTGGTACCAAAAAGAGTGTTCCTTGTTTTGAAACACTCAAAATTCTGACCTGATGGGGGCTCTGGGCCTAGAGGCTTCATTAAGGGAAAACTTGGGGCAGGACCAGCGCGTTGGACCGGTGCCAGTCACTGGCTTGATTTGTGTCTTTTAATTTAAAAAAAAAAAGCCAAATCATTCATGTATGCCACTTCTAATTGCTTTAAACTATGGCTGTTTGTTTGCTTTCCTAAAAGAGAGAACAAAAGTAGATGCCTTGAGAAACTTCACATCTTGTGGAAACAGGACAGCAGCCCAGCCCCCACCTTCAGTCAGGACTAACCAGTTAAAGGAAGTGCTTCTCCCAGGAAGCCCACCATGGCTTGGCGGAGGGAGTCTGAGGAGGGGGGAGGTAGTGCCTAGATGACCAGATCTTCGCTCACGTGCACCTACAAATTCTGTGCATTTTCTAGTACTTTTGGAAAACTAACACTAGCATTAGGTTGCAGATTTTTTTTTTTAGACTGATGATAATTTATTTTGCAGGGGGAAGGCATTAGCAAATGTGTCAGAAGATCTTTGTCCTTTTGTTAACTTTTAGTACATCAATAAATATTTTTTTGACTTGTCAGCCTGGTGTGTGTCGTGTGTGGTGCCCGGAAACAGGTCTCCTCACTTTCTTGAAGCCGCCACACTTGTTTGGACAGGGACAGAATCAGACTGTCCCAGAGGATGGGAAAATCGAAGGCTTTGGGAAACCCTTAGCCACTTTCTTGGGGTGCGGAAAAATATGTTTTTCTAAGCAAAGGGATGGGGTTGATTATAGATGTGAGTCCCTGTCTGGAGACAACTCTGGCTGTCACAATGGGGAGGGGGAGGGGCAGGGGCAGGGGTGAGTTGTTGCCACAGGCATCTAGTGGATAGAGGCCTGCAATACATCATAAACTCACCCTGAGATCTCCCAGAAACTGATACTTAAGGTTAAAACACACACACCCAGTATGCTCAAGCCCCGGAAGCCACTCCGGGTAACTCTTGAGAAGGACGGAGCTGTGAGATTCCGGGGGAGTCGCCACCAAGCACAGAACGCCTAGAGTCAGCAGGGCTTCGCAACTCCAACACCAGGCGCTCGTGATAAAGAGGTTTGCCTACGAAATAACCTTCCCCAGTCCTTGAGGGTTTGAATTTATGCATAAATTTCAGGCTCCAGGGAGAATCAAGATCCCTTTGAAGTGGGGGGAGAAGTTGCGCCTAGATCTTGGCCGCCGCGGTTGGAAGGCGGTTGGAAGGCTAGTTGGGGCGAAAACCTGAAGCTTTTAGTTCAGGAGGAGGTTCCTGCTGCAGCTGGAGAAGCAACCCCAGCTCCACCGAGCCCCAGGAAAGGCCTGCAAATTTGAAATCAGATTCTTGCCAGGAAGGCTGCTGGTTTGTTTCCTTTTGTTGTGCCTTCAGAGGCTGGAGCTGTTTTGTTTTGGGAAAGATGGGCAGGGACCACCCTAGCCATCCCGTCCTGGGGCTTTTGAGAGCTGCAGAAAGGGGTTGGGGACGGCCAGGAGGGAGCAGGCGGCAGAGCTGGAGCCGGGCCGCCCCCCGGTGGCCAGCCAGGCTTTCCTGGGCGTAATTTCTCCGGAGCCCCGCCAGACGGTGCGGGCCCAGCTCCACACCGGCCTTTGTTAGTTTTCTGCGCTGCTGATCTGATTGCCTAATCCACAGCCTTCCCAGAAGAATGGGCTGGGCTGCCAAGGGGCCAGACCCGGCCAGGGTTCAGCCCCGCGCCGCCGGGTCCAGTCTGAAGGTGCCTGGCGTGATCCGTGCATCCAGGTTCCAAGCCGTAGATCCGCCTGGACACCGCCTTCCTCCCCTCCACCCTCGTGGCTTGAGGGCCTGGCCGCAGAGGGGGCGCCCACCCTAGCGTGCTCTCGAGGGGGAGAGAGGTGGTTTCCCTGCTTGTTTGGGGACCCGAAAGGCACCGGCCAACCCCGAGCGGGCGAGCCAGGGAGAGGGGCTGAGGCCATCGCCTCTAGAGGGCGCGCGCGTCCCGCCAAGTGCGGGCCGCCAGCGCTTTGGACTCCCGGGAAGTTCC